AGCCGGGAGCAGGGCTGGCCCCGTCCCCTCCCGCCCCAGCTGCTCCCCACTCTGCACACAGCTGAGTTGTGAGAAGAACAAACAAAATTAGCAGATGTTTCTTTCCGAGCAGCCTGAATCCCAAGCCAGCTGTGCACTTCCCAAAGGACAAGGACCCCTCGGAAACGGAGAAACTGCCAAAACGACAGGGTGTTTTCACAGAAGCACCCTTCAGCAGAGGGAACAGGCTTCCTCCTCCAACTGACAGCCTGGGAAACACTTTCTGTCCGTCTCTCTCCCTCAAGTTTAGTAGCTGAGTCCGCTGCAAACACCACACCTGACCGAAGAAGTGCAAAAGCAAGAAGCATTGCCCCCTTGTCTCCAGCCGCAGAGAGTGCTCAGCCAGGGCAGGTTTAAATTCATGGGAAAAGCACCTTTTCCATTAATTCCTGAGTGCAGGAAACTCATTTGTTCTTTAGCACAAGCCCTGACAGCAGCCTTCCAGCTTCTCAGGCCTCTACCTCCAATCCTGATGAATCTTTTTAATTGTTACGCCAGAAGAAATCTAATCAAACCCCTTTACATAATGCTCCAGAGAAGCAGCACCCTCCTCTCCCTGCAGGGCCGACGACGTGGCCAAAAGCCAGCTACAGGAGTCGAGTGCAGTGTTTTCTAGGCAACTAACACAGAGCAAAGTCATTTGGTCTAATGCATATCCCCTTGACGGGGATTCTTCAGGGCCCAGGATGAGACAAGACTGCTAGGACACAGGCCAAGCCCCTCTCGGGCAGGAATATTTTTTGTCACATCCAGGCCCCGTCGGTCCGGCAGGCAGGGGAGCCCCCACAGCAGCAGTGGGGTGGGGAGCAGGACAAGGCTGCAAGGGGGAACAGCCCAGCTATCAACTAATGAGCTGCTCTGTGAGCAGAACTAATCAATAGGGAGGATGCTGTCTGGGCACTCAATTCCCTGGGCTCTCATAAGATACAACTGCTAGCAAAGGTTTAGCTACAGCGGGAGCATTCAGAATGGCTGCCCCATGTGGATTGTCCGGTATCTAGCAAGGGTCAAGAATATTTCCTTTCCAAAAGCATTAATGGGATCACTCTCCTCTATCCACTTCCATGTTCATGAAACCTGTAGTATCTCGGTATTTTTGAGGCCTCAGACCCCTCTCTGATGGAAATCAGCAAGTGGGCTCCACAGCAGTTCGGCAGAAGCACGCACTCACGTGCACTGACACGCTCCCTTTCCTTTGGAAATCATGTTAAAAATCAATCACACCCTGGCAGAGCTCCACTGCTAAGAGAAAGACACGAACTCCATCCAACTCCACCGCACCTCTCCAGAAAGCAACGGCACAGTGTGACTTTGAAAATACGCATCAGGTGGAGGCTTCCAAATGAAGATTGTCCCCTTGAGCGCAGCCAGGCTGGGAGAGCGGCTGCACAAACGATGGGTGGCAGGCTGGGTGGCACCTCTCCACCCATGGGGCTATTTTAGGTGACAGAAATGGTGCTCAAGTTACTGCCTTTAAGAAAGTGCTGCCCTTCAGCCACGGCAGTACCTGCCCACACGGCCACTTCTAGTCCACTGCAGCGTTTTCTTTGCACTGCAGCGTACTTGGAGACCACAAGTACTCCACCGCTGCTTGCCTCCCAGGTGTCCTGCTAGAAAGCCCGCGGCAAGGCAGAGAGCGCTACGCTCGCAGGCTGAGGCTTAACCCAGCAGCAGCTCCCCATCACACTCCGGGAGATCACGACCTCTTCCAAGACCTCTTCCCTCCCAGCTTGAATCCTTCCTCCTCAGTGCTGCCAGAGAAGACAGAGGTGGAGCTGGGTCCCTAGCATCTCCTTTTGGAGATGACTGCCCTTGAGAGCACTCTCTCTACTGTTTTGTGCAGACTAACAGTCTTTACTGACATTATCAGCCAGGCAAGGCACTCCCTGGGCAAACCACAAACTCCCCAAAGCACTGTTAGACCCTGCCAGAGATTCTGCCACATTTCAGGGACCTCAAGGACTGCAGGAGGGAGAGGGAGCTCCTTGTCTGTAAAAGCATTTTCAAGAGGAACACGGACTCCCCAGGCACCAGGAGCACAGGGACCTGCCTAAAACAGGCCCTCATCCCTGGCAGTGCAAAATAACTTCTCTGTCAGCCAAGGCAAAACACAGTTGCTCAGAAGGGCAATGCTGGGGCTGGGGAGAGCACGGGGAGAAGAGAAATGATAGGGACAGGCATCAGCAAGGCAGACACAGGAAGAGAAGCTTTGAATAGTTGGTGTTTGGTTCCTGTAGCAGATGGTTTCTGAGCCTGCAGGGACAGAGAGGCTGGGTAGAAAGTGACAACCCCAGAAATCCCAGGTCTTGTGCATCTTTGGAGGCAGGAGGGACCAAGTAGTTATGAAGGCCAGGAAATTCCTCTGGGTATAGCGATAGCTACCTAGCTACCTTCTGTAGGAGATGATCTACCCCAAGATCAAGGGATTCACAGGCAGGACAAGCAAACAGGGGCACGTGAAGTGTGCAGGGGGTAGGAAGGTTACAGCTGTCAGCGAGCACCACTGCAAGGCTAAGGGCAGCCAAGCTGACGGATGGAGTGAACAGAAAGCAACGAGCCCAGACAAGCACCAGAATGAAGATCCTGCCCAGACCAAACATGGAGAGGACAGGAGCAAACAGAAAAAGAACAAAAGAGAGATTTGGCACCTGCCCAAATGTCATCCAATTAAGCCTGCGGCACAGTCAGGTGAAGAAGGAAACAGCAGGCACCGGCAGGTGCCCGAGTCCGAATGAATGCTGTGAGGAGGAGCTAATTCCACCCTCTCACTGGCAGGGATGCGCAGACAGGGCAGGCAGGGGATGGGGAAGCTGTCAACAGATGAGACCGGGCTCCTGCCACTGAACTCCGGGCATTAATAACTTGGCACGGCAGTGGCACTGTCCTTCCAGGCATGACTGCACACTCCGCAGGGAGCACAGGCGTACCCCTCTGCTCGCCCTCCTGAGGGAAGCAGCCACAGGCAGCAAGGCCTGGCTTGTCCCCCGGGGACGTGGGGAGACACACGCACGCATCTCTGGTGTGGGCATGCAAGACCAGACCCATTCGCGTGTCTGCGGTGTGTGCTAAAGGCAGGCACACAGCGCTGGCACGCTGAGTGTTAAATGATAGCTCAGAGGGTCCCATCGAGTTGGGACTTCTGACCACCCGCGCCTTCTCCTACCCCACTCACACCCCTCTTGTGGGATCCCCCCTCTGCATCATGGGGGTCAGAAGCAGCAGCCAGCCCCCACAGGGACACTCCCCAGCCACCGGTACCTGTTACTCTGAGCCGCGCTCAGTCTCTTTGCTCTCTTCTCCAGCCAGTCCTCAATGGTGCCAGGCGGGACATCTGCTCCCTCCTGCCGCAGCTCCTTCGATCTCTGCTCCCCTGGTTGAGAGAGAGAGGGCTATCAGACGCTCGTGCTGCAGTCCTTTCACTCCATTAAACCCGCTGCTCATTATCCTGCGTAGTTTCTTGTGGTGGAGAGTTTGCAATTTGCCTGTGGGGGCCCCTCCTTCTCCTCCTCTGCTGTCCCCCTGCCATCTGATGCTCGGCCTCCTCACTGGTGACAGCTCCAGCCAGCCAGAGCCGGGAAGGACAACTAAGCCAGGGAGCATGGTGGCAGTTTAGGCACTTAACTGAGGGGAGCTTGACATCTCCCCCCAGGGAAGATCATCCTCATCCTCGCCTGAAACAGCCTCTGCTGGCCCTGAGTCGTTTCCAAAACCGTGTCCCTCCAAGCGGCAGGAGGGCCTTTGCCACCTCTGCCCAGTTAGGTGGGAGTGACAGGGACGTCCGTCCGGATCGATGCAGACTTGGCAGGCCGTGAGAGCCTGAAAGGTTCAGAGTGCGCGTGCAACGCGGGAGACGGGATTTCAGAGATGCTGTCAGGTCTGTTTAAGGTACACGCTGTGTGATGCGTCCCCAGCCCCTGCAGAGACAGGCTGGGAGGACATTGCCCAGCCCTGTTCAGTCTAGGTGCAAAACCAGAGCAGAGCACGGCGGAAGGAGGGAGGGGAACGAGTTCCTGCATTTTCTCACGCAAGTTAGGAATGAGCAAGGAAATCAGC